TAGAAATGGAAGCATCGCTGATCACTTTGAAAGCCATGGCGAATGCTCTTGATGCTAGCATGGTCATAGTAAGTTTGTCGCTTTTACGCTTTTACTATCTAGCAAGTGGTCATAGTAAGTTTGTCGCTTTTACGCTTTTACTATCGCAAAGTGCAAGAGTCTGCCAAATTTGAAAGAGAACCTCTTTTCCAGCTAACAGAGAAGGATGTGACTCCTCGAGGCAGCTGTTCACGTCGCCGAGTGGTCGAAGTTCTCGTACGCAAGGTTCCCGAGAGTCAGCAGTTCATCGAGTTGAGGTAGAGTTATGAGATTGCTCACGCTTTGGGAATAACGGGAATTATGCCGTTCAGACAACCAAAACAGTTAAGTTTACGCGCAAGTTCGGTAGATATTAATATGGGTAAGGGGATAGTAAACTCATTCCAGTTTTCTTTTGAGTAGAAATGCTTTTCTAACTACTTGAAGAGTAAGTTTGGTTTCGTATCGAGGGCCTCAAAATACACAGATTCTGCTTCATGCAAGAATTCCTAGAGCTCGCTCAAATTCCGGAATTGATTCTTATTGCTTTTTCATTAGCTTGGTTGTGAAGACTGTATTGTTCAATAGGGTGTGCCGAATATTGTATCACAGGTTGAAGCTGGTTTTTTATTCAATGTGGGTGGTTGTTGCCACTTAAAGGCAGCTATTACGAAAAATTGAGGAAGGGTTTAGTGTGAAGCGGTTGCTAAGTGGTTCACCAGTGGTGAAAAAAGCAGAAAAAACTGAATTGCTGCTCATCAATTTGTGAGTGTGCCAGATCATCTATTTTCGCTTTAGGTTAGCCGTACTTGGTGGCGCGGACGTTGGAAAATCTACATTCTGCGGTGTGATGACTCAAGGTTGCCTCGATGATGGCAATGGGAAGACCAGGCTTAACCTTTTCAGGTTTGTGAAAGGGGCATTTGGGAGCAGTGAAATTAGCTTTGTTCAGTATCTTGTTCAAAACACTACTTTTACAGGTTTCCACATGAGGTCCGTAGTGGAAAAACTAGCTCAGTGTGTTTGGACGTCATTGGATTCGATTCACGGGGAAAGGTGCGTCCACTGTTAATGACGCTGGGGCAATATTAATTTCATTTTATTTTTAGCTTGTCAATTATGCTCAAAATAGCCTTGAAGAATTAGTGGAGCGGTCCAAGAAAATAGTTACACTAATCGATCTGGCTGGTGATTCGAAGTATCTGAAAACCACCATACATGGATTGACTGGCTACAAACCTCACTTCGCCTGCCTGTATGTTCCTTTTGTACGGCTGAATGCTTAGCGCTCAGGCATAGAATCAATGAGACCATTTCTTTGTAGATTAGTCTCTGCTGAAATTGGACCAACCTCCACCACGAAAGAACATCTTGGTCTTGCTGCAGCTCTCAATATTCCTGTTTTCGTAATAATAACAAAATGGGATCTCGTGGAAAAGGAACAACTGGACAGGTTTGTTTCGCAGTTACTTCATGTTTGATGAAGTCTTCGAGAGCCTTAGCTAATGAGTTTTCAGAGTTATTAAGTCTGTGACATCGTTCGTTTCGCGAGCTGGTATGGTTGCGTGCCCAAAACGAGTTAAGCGAAAAAGGGATGCTGTCAAGTACGTGTATTTCAGGTGCGTCCAAGTACCATTAGGTCTTTACATTCATTCATCGAGTATTTGATATCTTTTTGTGAGCTCTGCGAAGCCTGTGCTTTCTTCGGCACAGTACCGATTTTTGTTGCATTATCTTCTGTGTCAGTGGTTAGAATAGAGAGGTCTTGGGCTTATTCGTTGTTTCCTCAATGTACTACTACCGCCGACGGGTACGACAGGATCTCGTCTTCAACTAGCCTCGCAGCCTCCTCTTTTTACCATCGAAGAAATGTTCAACGTTCCTCATGTTCGTGTTGTTTCTCTTTTTTTTTTGATTAGCTCGTTAGGTGATTTTTGAGTAATTTTTAGAAAAATTTTCAAAAACATGTTTAAGGTTGAGGACTTGTAGTTGGATGGTATGCTTGTCATCAGGCCCGCCTCTCAGAGATGGGTGAATGCTGTTCCTGTGGGACCGTTAATAAATGGGAAGTTTTTTGAGAAGGTAAGCAGAGCTTGATTAGTAAATAGATCGTGCATTTACTTTTTCTTTTCCTATGTGCCACTGCTTGAATGAGGATATTCATAGATCAATTTGGTATTGCTTCGGATCGAAATGTTCTTTCAGGCATTCATTGGTTCGATCAGACGAAGTCGTCAACCCGTCCAAGCAGTGTTGCCGGGCGAAGCTGTCAGCATTGCTCTCAGTCGACGTTCGAAAACATCACAGCCACTGAGAAGGGTACGTGAATAGTTATTATTTTTAAACATTCATAAGCAGCGAAAAAATGTGGTAACATCCCTCACCAACTCTAGCCACGCGAGGACTTTTCCATCGAATAACGCACCGTTGACGCCAGAAGGCGTGGTCAAGTAATAAACTGTCTTTTTTTGTTTGCGTAGGGGAACTGGTACTGATGTCTGCATCTGCGAAGCCATCGTGCTGCCGTCGTTTCACAGCGTCATTGTTTTTACTATCTCACTCTGCACGTCATCTCTGCATTGGTTTCCAAGCTACAGGTAATTTTTTGAATAAGTCGTTAATGTGTTTAGTTCAGTATTCTTTTTCCTCTTACGAAACAGTGACTGATTCAGCGTAAATGAAGTATTCGATTATATTATAAATTTGAGTTTTCAGTGTATATTGGATCAGTTCGTCAGACTGCTGCCATCGTGGATATTGATCGCCCGTCTCTAGAACAGGGAAAGTGGGCGACCGTTTTGTTCCAACTCATGGGTGGTCCAGAATACATACTTGCTGGCACGCCATTGATATTTCGTCAGGGAAAAACAAAAGGAATGGGAGAAGTCATGGAGGTCATTGAGGACTAAATTCTCAGAACTGATATTTTGTGAAGTGCCAAACTATAGTAGGGAAAAGCTTACCGGTGATTTTTTTCTATAGCTCTCATACTTTATCAACCGCTTGAGCTTTTGTTGTAGTTAATGGAATATTGTGTTATTCTTGTTAGGATTTGTGTATTTCGCTTCTACTAGCTTTTTGATCCAGTAGTGCAACCTAATATATTCTATAGTTTGAAGATGCCTAGTAGAAAGTGGAACCAGGCAGTGACATGCGACTCGAATAATGGGGAAGGGCGCGTTGGGAGCGATTTGGCAAGATTTTACCCATTTTGGCTTGTTTCTAGGTTCGCGCCGCCTTGAAATAGCGGCGTTAGGTGGTGTACTTTGTCAGTGTGCGTCTAGCTTTCGCTTCAGAGATTTAGAACACGGCTTTAGCGTTGAAGAAATCAGCCATTGTGGGAACTCCTCAAATGAATAAAGAAAGATTACAATGAGGCCATATTCCACGAATTTCCTTTTTACGACTTTTTTCCGCTACTGGCGTATTTAGCACCTCCGCTTTGGTTTTTCGGAGACAACCAAGTTACGTACTGCCTTTAAGATCTTTTTCAGTATTAGCAAAATGAGTATTCCTTCTCTTTTCTCCTTAGCGAACTAGTCCGCTTTTATCTGAGCATCTCGGAAGACGTTTCTCTTGTGTTTACTCCACTTGAGCAGAAGATTCCCATGTATATTATCTAATGTGTAGATTTCCTTTAGATAGTGTAAAAATGTACATAGTTCTCCAATAGATGGTCAGCCGCATTTTGAATTTTCTTGTGACAGTTGTCCGTTTTCCTTGGCACAAATGCAGGCGATTGGATTCTTAATTTGTGTGTCTCCTCTTTTGTGTTCGATTGAAAAGTCTCAGTAATATACACTCTTTTTAAGAGATCTGGTATATATGCGTTGTGTAGTTTTTTATACTCACGCTGTTGATTTGTGTTAGGGTCGGATATCAATGTATGAAATGTAGGTAGAAATAAATGTAGACATTTAGCTGATGGAGTGGCGCACGGTACGGGGTCGAAGCTAGGGTCGGATTTTACCCAGGTCAAATTTAGATTTCACCGAGATTCCTCCAAAAAGGTGGGAGAAACCCGACATCCACATCGGGTGGACTGTCGGGATCTCCGCTGTGCGGTAAGTCGCACTCTTTTATGGCAAAGGCAACTACTGACTAGAAAATGTGAACGTGGTGCATCCCGAGAGGGAATTGATCAATGTCAAACGCTTTATTTCATTTTTGCTTTTTCTTTGAATTTTTAGCATCTGGATTGATTCAGGTCGTTCTGTGGTGTTTGGGAGTATCCTGAATGGATATTGATTAGCGATGACCGATTGTGCACGTCTGCATAAATGCCCGCCCTTTCAAAAAACGAGAAGAGCGTCGGGTGCAGACCATACACCACAAGTGACGACGGCCTCCAAGTAAATCTGGTTAGTAGTGGTTCATAGTGATAGCTGATTTTTGGTAAATGATAGTTGTAATTAGTGACAACTGATAGAATACAACTGCAACAGGCTAACAATTCACAGAATATAACAGCAACAAGGCCAGTCATTGTATGGACAGAAAGCATTATATTTTTCTGGAGGTCGTCGTCACTTTTGGTGTGCGGTGTGCATCCCCAACGCTCTTCTCGTTTTTCGAAGGGGAGTGTGTAGAGGGGATGGTGTGGCGTGCGGAAATGAAGAATGAAGAAGTGGTGGAAGCAAGTGATAAATGATAGATGAAGAGGATGTATAAAAGAGGAATGCAATGGCAATAAACATTCTCACCCTTCATCTTCTGTGTACACACGCTGATTGGCGATCGGGATGATTATACCGGGTCGGGAGATCGGTGGATACCCGGTATCGTAGTCAAAACCTTGGGGACGAGCACTTATGAGGTACTACTACGGCATGGGTGTGAGGAAATGTCATGCTGAACTCCATAGGAAAGGTGATCGCGTTGTGAGTTAGCAGACACAGGACCCCGGTTGGGGAGGATGGCAGAAATAGTGCCTCAGAGGAAAACGCGGGGAACTTTACGAAGAGACGATACTGCGGCGATCGAAAGCGGAAGTGGCAAGAAATCTACTAAGACGAGCGATTACCGAGAGAATGAGAAGCGTGGGAAGATCGGCAAGATAAGGATAATAGATCAGAAGAGGGAAAACAAAAACAGTGATAGACTGCAGGGGCCTATAAAGGAGGCTGGAAGGAGTATGCACCTCAATTATGTTTTCACCAAGCCAGCAGCCGCTGACAATCGTCTTCGGGGAAGGGGGAGGGGGGGGGGGGGGGGGGCCAGTGGAGCCCGCAATCGAGCCCCCATCTCTTCGTGTTCTCGGCAGGCACGAGCGGAGCGGCGACGGGGCCGCCCCCGGCACCACGTGGTTGGTTTACGGTGGTATGCGCCCCGTCGGCGTCACAAACGACGGCGGTGAGGAAGCCAAAACGTCGCCGCAGCGCCGTGGCAGGGCGGCTGTGAGCGGCGCTGAAAGGAATTCCAGCGCGCACATTCGCAGGAAGGAGCCCGTTATGGCGTCGCAGACATTGAGCCGTCCCGGTCCAGACGCCAGAGGACGCTAAGAAGAAGAAGAACACTTCGAAGCAGGTCCCCCCCGGAGCAGAAAGAAACAGCGGAAGAGGGCGATGAGCTTCACTAAAAGTCCGGTGGTATGTCTACAAATTAAATGAGTTAAGTTGAATTGTGTTGAAGAGCGGTAAAAGAATCTGGTGGAGGGGGGGGGGGGGGTAGAAGAACATAAGGTTGAATCCCGACGCCGCTCCTTAGTTGTGGCGTGATGTAGAAGTCAAGCGCTGGTTAAAAAACTGGCACCTTGAGTGACCGCCGGGTCGCTAGGGGGGGGGGGTGTAGAGGGGTGGTGTGCGTGCGGAAATGAAGAATGAGGAAGTGATGGAGGGGAGTAGGGGAGTGATAAATGATAGATGGAGAGGATGTATAAAAGGGGAATGCAGGAGGCAATAAATCATTCTCACCCCTCGTCTTCTGCGTACACACGCTAACTGAGTGTAGATGAATGCCCATTCTCTGCATCTGTGGATTTTGATAGGGCTCGAGTAGATGTGTATGAGCCTTTTCCTTATCCTGTACGACTTTCGATGAATCTTGGCATGTTGTGAATATGACATCGCATTCTTGTTGTCAGGGGGATGACCGGGATAAGGTTGGTTTAGAAGGAATGGAAGAAGAGCGAGGATTAGAAGAAGGAAGGATAGGAAGGAGGATAAGAAGAGACCCCACTATAAAAGCATCCCTCAGTATGATAATAAGCATTCTCCTCCCTGCAATGTTGGAACTGCACAACTGTCTGGCGATCAGGGCGACGACGCAGAAGAACCGTCTTCGGCTGTCAACTCACCGACTCATCGAAGCATTGAAGGATCACGACGTACAAGAGATCTTGTAAGCTGTGACCATGTTGTTAAATTCATTTTACTAGGCTAACGTTTCGGCCTTGTCGCCTCCATCAGAACCTGGAAAGTCAAAAATAGCGACCTAAACTCCAAAGACCATTTTCGAATTTCAAAACAATCCATCCTAGACTGAAGGCATCTCCTTTACCTATATTTCCAACTGCATCAGTCAAGGCAAACTGATGTAATCACTAAATTCCTTTATATCAAGATAATTATGTGCAGCACAAGGGTCCACACAACCCGACTGAACCCCGACGAAGAGTTTGTCGCTTTTTGCATAGTGCTCGTTCAGGACTTCTAGAGGAGCGGTCATGTTAGAAGATAGGGCAGTATTCGTAGGGAGGGTTTTTTTGGGAAGGGTTTTTCAATTTTTGTCGGAATTCCTGAAATTGTGAGGGTCCGGGGACCCGCCGCTCGACACGTTTGGAGACATTTCAGGGGCAAATTGAGTTTTGTCAAATGTTAAGCGATGACAGGTTCAAGCATTGCTGTGAAAACTGCGATCTCTAAGCAAATTTTTCACTTTTTTGGCATTTAGAGGGGCCGCTCAGAAAGAATGGAGCCTCCGTGCCTTGCATGTACTCTCGTGTCACGCAAAGAACTGATTCACAAAGCGGTCATTATCCTGGAAAACCTTCCTGGTTTTCTAGGTCAACATCGAGTTGAGTTGAGCAGGATGTCGGCTTGTGTTCGATTGCTTACCATTAGCTTTCGTGGGGCCTTGTAAAGGCTTCTATCATTGCAGATGCTCGCTTGGGATTTCACTACTGTTTGAACGCCCGGCTCGCTGCCAAAGTTTGTGGTTATTTCGCTCGAAATGAAAAGGAGGGGTGCGAAGTGGACCGCCAAAGAAAAAAAGCAAAAGGTGTGAGAACGTTGAATTGGTCCCATTTTGAGATCGACCATGGTAAGAGCTACAGACCTGGTGTCGTAAGGAGAGGGAGCACGCGAGAGAGCTCGCCACGCGGGGGCCGCAGACCCCGCGGATGTTGCGAGCAAGTGTAAACGGCAGGGTCCAGACACTGCCCTAGCGCCCTCGTCGCCTACTTTCTAAATGCCTCAGTGCCGCGACCTCGGCCTTTGGAGATCCTCTTACCTCGGTCACGGTAAAGATCTTCTAAGATCTAATCGCGAGATATGCCCTTGAGCTTCCACTATGAGATCAGGAATCCGGTGTGGGATGTGTCGGTTCTCGTGGATGGTTCTAGAACTCTCATGCGGATACAACAAAACACAAAAACCAACTACCACTGTCACAGTAAGGTCCAGTTTATTGGAGGAAAGTACGGCAAATTATTGCCCATGTCAATACGATTATTAGAGGGCATGAGTTCGGCGATGCAGTCATCCGGAGACGACGGAAAACCTCATAAGAAAAAGGCCATGCAATTAGTACTCCATTCAGCAACCCCGTTTGGCAAAGGGCACAGGGTCCAGTTCGCCATACGATGGCGAATTTCAGACAATCGACAACATGTGAGATTAAAAATCGTTTATTCGCTAATATTTCCAAACAACAACCTTCACTAAGCCATTGCTACTCCAATCAAAGTGCA